GTCGCTGCGCCACTCGCTTTTCCGCAAGGGCTACCAGCTGCTCGACCCCTACGTGACGGTGAGCGTGGACCAGGTGCGCGTGGGGCAGACGAGCACCAAGCAGAAGACCAACAAGCCCACGTACAACGAGGAGTTCTCCGCCACGGTCACCGAGGGCCAGCAGCTGGAGCTCTCCGTCTTCCACGACACCCCCATCGGCTACGATGACTTTGTGGCCAACTGCACCTTGCACTTCCAGGACCTGCTGCCCTCCGCGGGCCCCGGCGACGGCTTCGAGGGCTGGGTGAGTCGCAGCGCGGGGCAGAAGCCGGCCCTGGGTTTCGGCGCGGATGAATGGGGCGCCCGCGGAGCGGGGGCTTGTCCTCGCACGCCCGGCGCATCCGCTCGCGCCCTGGCGCGTAGCAGCAGCCCCACAGCGAGGGGCTGAAGGAGCTGCCGTAGCTCGAGGGTCAAACGTATCCCTTAGCAGCACGCTGCACCTGCAGACTCGTCCGCCAGCTCCCTGTCCTCTTTCCCAGAGCACGCAGCTTGCAAGCGAGCAGGGGGGTGGATTGCTGCGCCGCTCCACACATGCTTGCACAATTGTTTGATGTGCGCGCGCAGATCGGGGAGACTTTGAAATGGAATGACGGGACCGGTCTTGTATAGAGCGTGTAGGGCCGTGTTGCTTAAACACGGTTTCAGTTGCAGCTGGTGCTGGGTTATTCCCATGGGGGTGTCACTCGCACCTGGCCCAGAGAGCTTCCTTGGTGGCTTGGTCCTAATAGTAAGTGAAGGGAACAGTGTAGGCTCTAAAGTCGTGCCCTCGCTTTCAGTGCTATAATGCAGGAGGTAGGGAGTGTGGTGATTCAGTGACGTTGTAGTTGGCCTGGGTTTGATTTATTAAAAAAAAAAAAGAAAAATCAAGCTCTGGGTAGAGAGAACTTGGGTAGAGGGAAGAATACCTTGTTCTGGGCAGAGAAGGTGTGAAAGAACTTGGAGCTCCCAAGGATATGATAGGTGTTAACTTTTTATTAACTTTTCTGAGACCAGGAAGTTCAGTCCGTATGGTCAAATAACCACCTTGGTAAAATCAGATGTGGAGGAAAGAGCTGACACGATAGCAGATAGGTATCTAGATTGCCTTGCTGCAGAAAATGCTCATGCTTTCTGTTCCCAGCCGGTGTCCGTGACTAAGACGCGATGTTACATCTCTGGTGTGACTACAGGGAAATACCAATCACGGGAGCACTTAATGCTCCTAATCTACACTAATCCTAATGCTATCTTTTCTTCTCTTATGATGTACTTAGCTACCCTGTGGTTGAAGCACTCCAGCTGGGGTGGATTTGGTGGGGAGGGCAAGCAGGTGTCTGTGTGCTCTGCCCGTTCTCCTCTCGCCTTCCCTTCCATCTTGCTCCATCTCGCATAGCATGTGCTCAGAATCATGTGGTGACAGGGGAACAGCATCTTGCCCTGATAATTTAATATTTCTTGATAAATTCAGCAGGGCTGTTGCTGGATTTTGTGCAATCTGACGAGTAAGAAATGCTGCTCTGTATTAGCCCAAGGCCTGTGGACTGCTGGCATGCTACAAGATGCCAGAAGGGGGTTTATTTGCAACATTTCTACCCCAAAAGCCCTCTTATGACCCCCAGACAAGCACACATATGCAGATATAAGCAAGGAATGGAATGGGGGGGAAAATGAATGAAGCCTCAAAGCTTAACTTGGTTTCTATGTGCCTGTGCAGGAGAATCCCTGGGAAAGCAGTTAGGCTTCTTTTGTAAAGGTGCGTACTCCTTCAACACAAAATGATTGAGAAACTGGGTTTTCTTCCATTGATAAAGATGATTGTTTAGGACACTTGTCACCACAGCTTGTGGGAAATGTAGGAAGTGACGGTGGGAAGCAGGTTGGGGCAGTCAGCGGGCAGGCGCTGGTCCTTCTCGGATGACTTGCAGATACATCACTGCAATTATGTCCCAAACTTTAATGCATGTGAGTGACTGTACGAACATGAATCGTCTCATCACTAGTGCTTATACCTATGAGTAATTCCCCAGGGTGCTGGGACAGAGCCCTGTGCTCATAGTTTGTATTAAAATCCATATTCCAGAGGCTCTTCAAAAACTACTATTTTTTTCTTCTATCCCCCTCCTTATTCCTTCCTGAAGTCCTTCTAATGAACGCATTACCGCAGCCTGAATATTTTTTTAGTTTGCATATTAGTTGTTAAACACATTTGATTAACTTTCCACAGATCAAATTTATAAGAGCATATTATCTTCAAGATCCTGCTCTGTTTCCCATTATTTACGTTTAATGGTCAGGCTGCAGAGGGGCAGCTTTTATTAATACCCTCAATTAAATGCCACCTTGCTTCAGTGTGCTGCAGTGCAGTTGAAACTGGCAGCGATCTCTCCAGCACCGTGTTTTTCTGGTAAGTATTTTCCTGTAGATCAAGTGGGTGTGAAATTCTGCAAACCTGAAAGGTAGCATTTTACACAGGTGCACATGACCCTGCCAGGTGCACAGCAGTAGAGAATTAAGTCGGCTCTTACCAAAAGCTGCTATGATTTCCATGGTGATTGAAACTTTTCCTTTAAAGTGTTTATTTAATTTTGCACTAGCATCTTTTTTACTCTTTGTAGTGTGTCTTCTTTAACCATCTCTGAGTGTAGTATGGGCAGCTGAGCTTTAATTGACAGGAAAAAAAATTACACTATGTTAGAAATGAGTATCTTAGTATTACTCCTATGAGATCTATGTAGCAACTGAAGTATGTTTTTTTTTTTAAGCTTGGGGCTGCACTATTTGTAAAAGATACAGAATTGCATTGTTACTAGGGAATGATTTATTTATCATTACAGAACTTGTTAGTGTATGGATAGAGATGTCATGATTTCTAGCACTTTAATGAGTAGTTAAAATACAAACCTATTTCGCCGTGATCTTGAAATAGCAATTCACCTTAGTATACTGAAGGAAATTAGATAACAGATGGACCATTAGATTAATGAACCAATCACAACATCCTGCTGATTTTTGTTAGCAATTACTCATAGGAGAACTGTTAGGTTTGTTTGCAGGAAGAGATTAAAACAAATAATTCTCATGCAATCTGGAGCTTGTACTCTTTCACCTGTATCCCGTCCTATGATTGCTCCTTCCTAAGGTAAAAAAGTCCTTTATGTGCAATTGCATATATTTATTGAATGTTAAACTGAAGGGTTAAACACAGCTTCATCCCTAGAGCATTGGCAGAGAACCAGGATGCTGCAGGTCCAATATGACAGGGGTACTTACTGGTGCAACTACCCCTTGCACATCATGGCAAAGCGTTTTCCAGGTGGACAGAACTGGTGCATGGAAAATGAAAAATACTTGTAGCTGTTGAGAGAGTGTCTTGTGATGCAGACTGTCACAGAGGATTTTGTCAAGGCTTGTTTGGAGAAAAAAAAAAAAAAAAAAAAAAAAAAGAAAAAAAAAAAAAGAAGTTTGAAGAGGATGAGGTAGCTGCTTGTCAAAATAGAAAATAGGGCTGAGCTCAAAAAATGAGGCTGCCTGGGTTGTTTTCCACCTGTGCCGGGCTGTGGGCTGTGGCTGTCTGCAAAGATGGACTGAATCTTTCAGAGCTGCAGCAAGTGGTTTCTCCTTCTATAGGTCTTATCAATCCAAGATGAGCAACAGTAGTATTCCATATGTAGGATTTCTGTTTCCAGGTACTTGGCAATAATGTATATAGTGCAGATCTCTGACCTATATTAAGGTCATCTTAATTGCTAACTATACCTAAGCTAAGCAATGTCACTATGTCTTGTTCAGTTTAAGTGTTTCTGTAATTACTACTACTGATACGCGGTTGTTATGCATTTGGCTTGAGAGCTTTTTTTTTCTTTTTCTCTCTTCAAGAAAATCCGAGATTGGGAAGTTTTGGTCCAAGTATGAGAAGAGCTGATTTTCAGTGATTAAAGCAACTGGGATGCTTACAGGGACCTGGGAGTCCTGGCTCTGACGTGGATGCAGCGGGATATGGATGTGCTGCCCTTTGCTCCTCAGCCAGGCGCCTGCTCCTGCCTTGGCACTGTGTTCCTTGGCCCGAGTTTCTATGAATATGTGTCTTAAAAGCCCTTGTTTTGATCCTGTCGGGGATCCTGGGAGCTGGGGAAGGAGTGCAGGGCATGGGCCTGCTTTTGCTGCCGGGTGCACAGGCCTCCCTCTGCTCACTGCTGCTCTCTGTGAACAGGTACTTCGTCCAGGGCATCAGGGCTTTCTGCTTTGAATGTTTTCTGAGTAATGATTTGGTTTCAAGCCATCTTGAGCTTTTAGGCAATGAAATACCTGCAGAAAACCTTGTCAAGGGGGTAATTTGAGCTCTTGAAATGCCATTAGGAAGTCTATTGGTTTACAGCGTAATTCAATATGAAAGCATATCCCTTACTGGACTAAATAAGACTCATTTGTTTGCAAAAACTGTTGAAGTGCCTTTGATGTTTTGGGCTTGATTGTAGCTGTTGTGCTTTGCTAATGCAATCAAGAAATTGGGGACCTTTAGTGTAACCTTGGCGTAAGAGACAAGCAGAAGAGATGCTGGGTGGAATGAGCTGCTAAACACTCTGTAAATAATTCTGGATCAGGCATCACAAGTTTCTCTCTCCAAAATCTCAGCCTTTTCAGAGTTGCAGCTAATACAGGTGAAACCATGTTCTAGACTTAATTTCTTCTGGGGCCAGTGAGCAATCAGGCTGCTTATTGCACCTCCACCCTGCTAGTGGGGCCGTGAACCAGAGGGAGGCCTGGATGACTAACCGGGCTGAGTTGGCTGGTGCTGTTCACTCTGCAGCTCTCCTGAGCCAACCCTTTGGTTGTGCTGCACACAAGAGGCTATGGCTGGTCATGAGCGGAAAAACTTATATTTATATTAAAGATGGCAAATGTATGTCTAAAATAAAGCACATCCTGAAGCATCCAGTTAATGTCGTTAAATGACTTAAGGTAAATCAGGCAAATGATTTAAGTCTCTGCCATGACACTGACTTTGTTTTTTCCTTTCATAACATGAAATATTCTCATCCTTCAGTCAAATCAATCCCTAAAGAAGCTCTCCTGCTTTCTTATTAATACCACGTTTGCCCAGGGAAATGGGAAGCTGGTTTAGCCGTGCTAGTAGATGCTCTTCAGTGGTGTCTGCAGCGGGTGACGGAGGGTTGTGCAGAGAACCACGGTGGAGTGTCAAGTGGCCCTGCAGGTCACAGGCATCGCCATGAGCAGATGTAGGTTGTGTTTAGTTGCTTTAGCGCA